GAAATGGTGAATGATGGAGTGAGTGCAATGTTTAATCTTTTTTTCAAAAAGATAGTTCTTACTCACATTAAATTGTTTTCCAACGATCCGGCCTTAGCTCATTGTAGAAATCCTTCAACCTGACGATGAGCTAAGGGTTCGAAATCCAGATCGTTGGAAAACAACATAATGTGAGAAAAAACTATCTTTTTTAAAAAAGGATTGGACAGGTTATGTAAGATGACTTAGAAAGGGCAGTTTAGGTCAGCTAATAAGGCCAATTCAAATGTGTTAAACAAGTTGAAAAGGTTTGGCTGTGGAAAATCCTTCATCTAGGTTTACCATGATAAAATTGATTTTGTACCGTCACTGGGTCATTTACTAGTTCCGGAAAAACTCTTTACAACATACTACACAGTCTCAAAAGGAAAAGAAGAATTCCTGAGAACACCAGATACCATGATATGGTATACTGATAGCTCCAAAATAAATTGAACAAACGGATCCTGCATTTTTTTTCTGCTCGTCCAAAATATGTGCAATCACACTCTTTAGGGAAGTTCACGTCGGTCTTTCAAGTTGAAATACATGCCATCAACGCTTGTTTCTTAGAAAATCTTAAAAGAGGTTACACTTGCAAAAAATCCTCTTAAGATCGGATAGCCAAACAGCTATTAAAACATTGGCATCTAAAAAAATCATATCTGATTAGTCACTGAATACAAAATCTCCAAAACCAGGGAAACACAACCTGATGATATCTTGGGTGCCCGGACACAGAGGAATTTTGGGTAACGAGAAAGCAGACAGACTACATATAAATATATAGGCCCCGAACCTATACTTGGAATAACAAAAATAAATATAGAATCCTCCATCGCAGAATGGATCTAAAAAAACAATAGGAGGAACGGATAAACTGTAACGGCGCTAGATACGATGAACCTATGACGAAAGAACCCTCACCTGGCAAAATCACTGCTGCAGTTGGAAAGGGCTAGACTCAGAGAAGTGCTAGGACTATTAACCTGTCACTGGCATCTGGGAAAACATGGGCATATATCTTCAAATTATGTAATGATGAGGAGGAAACAGCCACCCATCATTATTGAACGGGAAGCAACAGCTTAATGGAGATTTTACCTAACATACGAAAAACTCTAGAGAATGAAATTTTAGCAGTCAATGGCATGATACTTCTAAGAAGAAGGATTGAGTCTATTGTACTGAACTAAGGAACTAAGAAGGTACAATAAGCCAGAAGGCAGCAGTTTCTGGGAAGCACAAACCCCGCTCCCTAGTATCCTCATTACCATACCATACCACATACATAAATACATGATATATCAGTAACTTCTTCACTCTTTTCATCTCTATCTCTACAACAATATCAATTTTTTTGTTTGACAGTTTGATTCTCTCTCTCAATCTCTCTCACTCTCTCTCACTCTCTCTCTCTCTCTCTCTCTCTCTCTCTCTCTCTCTCTCTCTCTCTCACTCGCACTCACTCTCTTTCTAAAGGAATTTTGGTTAACGAAAAAGCAGAATCTATGGTCAGAGGAGGATCGGCAAGACCATAATGCCCTAAAACTATTCTAAACTATTTTTGAGATAATAAAAACAAACACAGAATCTTCCATCGTGGAATGAATTGGAATGAATAAAAAAAAAAAGCGGAGAAGTGGATAAATTCTAGAGGTGCTAGACACAGTAAGCTTATGGTTAAGTAACCCTCACCAAGACTGGCCAACTGACTACAGCCAGAGAGGGCATAACTGGAAACGGTTTGATGGAGACATAATCTGGGATATTAAGAAAATCAAGGAAAAGGAATTGTAGCAACACAGTCAATGACCTTGTATATGTACTTCTTAAGAAAAAGACCGAATCGACAGACTTGTAAAGGAACTAGAAAAGTACAATAATCCAAAATGCTGCAGTGCTTGAGAAACATAAACCCCCACTTACTAATCTCATCATCATCATCACTTCTTGGTCCGTCATCACTTATTTTCGATTACACCCAACGCTTTTCCGCTTTGGGCCACGTTCAGTAAGGAACTGTCGGACGGACCCAGTGCCGGTAACATGTGTTCACCTATTCGCATACCAACATCCGTCAATTTCAAATTAATTTTTTGCAGAAACTTGTTCGTAAAGTACATTCGTACGAATTTAAATCATTGTGTACCAAAATAAATTATGTAAACATTTATCACTGTATAGGTCACGATAATCACATCATATGAGTTAAACTATGAACATAATATTGTGGCGATGATTTTGAAAAAACACTAAATCCGTTTTTATACTTGCAAATCAGCTAAAAATAAACAACTAATTATTTTTTTACTATCAGATATTTGATTGGTTAATTGGATGATCTTGATTGTGTGTTATTTTGTGTACGTGCAGGAGGCCCCGTATTCTGTGTGTACATGCACGTTCGCTGATGTCATACGGTCATTAACTTCATTTCTGATACCGTTTCATAACCAGAACTATCTTCGCTTCTGACGATATCGCGCTAGACGTGTGATACATGAAGGCTCATCAATTTTATCCCAGATATATTCCCGGTTTTTAACGATAATGACGCTTTTTTTTCTTCCCCAACCTAGACTCGCAAAGATTCTGAACGAAAGTTATGTACTGTAGGGTTGAATTTATTCTGGATTTATATTTACTGCCCGCTCATCTGTGGGCAGATTTTTTTTAGCCTGTTTTTCCCCCAATATATAACTGTTATTGATTACGATGACTCTAAAATTTGTTTATGAATTATATTTCTCTTTTAAGACAGACACAATACAAAACATACGCACAAATATATTAAACAAACAAATGTACAGACAAAAGCAACGTCTCTATCATTTTTTACATAAAAACCACATGCGCAAATACAGTACAAACCACACACTCGCGCAAAGNTTTGTTAGAGTTGGAATGAGGGAATAAACGAACGAACAGAGTATACAATGATTGAGTGAGAACATTAGTGTTTGTATTATGATGTGAACGAATGATTGAATGAATGAACAAACTATTGAGATAATTAGCGACTGACTGAATGAGTTAGTGGTTGTGTTAGCGTATGAACGAGTGTTTTGACAAGTGAATTAGTGATTGGTCGAGTGTTAGCTAGAATGTTAGTGTGTTAGCTAGAGTGAATGCTTAGACTCAGTGAATAGTTAGTGAATGAGTGAGTGCGTGAACGAACAAACTATTGAGAGAAGTAGCGACTAAATCAGTTAGTGTTTACGTTATCGTGTTTTTGAGTGGGTGCATGGACTAGTGAATTAGTGATAAGTTGAGCAAGTTATAACATGTGTGAGCATGTGAATGAATGAGTGCATGAACGAACAATCTGTTGAGAGAAGTAGCGACTAAATCAGTTAGTGTTTACGTTAGCGTGTTAATGAGAGAGTGCATGGACTAGTGAATTAGGGATAAGTTGATCAATTTATTATTAGTATTAGCGTGTGAAAGAATGAACGAATGAACGAACAAACTATTTTGAGCTTAGGGACTGACCAAGTTATGACTTGAGTAAGGGGGTGAATGAATCAACAAACTTGTGAAAGAACTAACGACTGTCTGATTGCTTGTGTTACTGGGTAAATTTGTGGATGCATGGGCTAGTCAACTAGTTATTAATTGAGTAAGTCATTACTTGTGTTGAAACTTAAATGAATGAATGCATGAGTGAACAACCTATTGTGAAAATTAACGACTGATTAAGTTAGTGTTCGTTGTATGTGAATGTATGAGTGAATAAACGAACAAATTATTGAGTGAAAGCGGAATTGAGTTAGTTCTTGTAGAGTGTGAATGGAAAAATAAGACTATAAAAATAAGTAAATTAGTACTTGTGTTAAAATGAAACGAGTGCGTGAATGAACAAGCAAACTTGAGTGAAAGTGTGATTATATGAGTAATTTTCATCTGTTTATTTAGAAGTTATGTGAGGTTAATTTTGATTGTCGGTTGAGTAGGTAATAAAGAATCGTTTGTTGAGTGTCTGTAATTTTAATCGTGTGTGTGGATTCCAAGATAGTCTTCTGTCAAATATAAGTCCTAAATAGTTAAAAAAGTGGATTTACAAACAGGTTCATTGTGTAAGTATATGCTAGGACAAGTCCCACGACGGAGTGTAAAGGTGATATGTTGTGACGTTTTGGGGGTTAAACTGTATTTTCCAAAGATTGCTCCATTTTTAAATTGTTGATATGTGGTCTTGTAACATAATTGAAGATTGTGTAGAAGAGGGATGACTTGTCAATATGGTAGTCTGCGTATGTGGCGGTAAGTGCATTCTCATTCGTGGGCTGTCAACAGTAAAAATTGTGTATAATAGCGGAACGAGTATCGACACTTGTGGAAAACCTGCAAGCACTTCTTCCATCTCAGAACCCTGGTTTACTGCGAAAAATCTCCCCTTAAGCTTGTATAATCGGATAATAGGCCTGGGGTAAAATTAATTTTATTTATATAATAATCACTCATGCCATACTTTGTCGAAGGTCGGAGAAACATCTAGAAACACACCAGTCGCGTATAGTTTCTGCTCGAAACATTAAGTAATGAAATTTGTAACTCTGTGAAGTTGATGAGTAGTGGAATGATGGTCTCGAAAGTCAAATCTAACATAAATCTACCTAACCTAAAGCGATATGACATGATAAAAGACGAAGAAGGTAGGATAGCTTAACTCCATCACGCCGTTCACGTTCAAAATAAAAATGACCAATTTCCCATTTTAAAGGATGAATGTGATAAATAGGAGTAATATTTTCGTCGAGCGACTCTCTGTCTGGTAATTGAGAGATATTTTTTATCCGTCCCGTCTACGAGGACAATGCGCTTCTGCCATTTATTCCGACTAGCTAGTCGCTTTGTCAAAGCGTGAAGGACAAAAGACCCTCTCGGGGCTTAGAAAAATTGTCCTTAAAACAAAGCCGATGAAGATCAGGTTTTGCATAAAAGCGTTGACGAAAATTAGAAAAAAAAGATTGACTTACGTTCATGCCCGTTCTATGAACACGGACCGGATTCCAACTCGATCGCTTTTGGAAGAAGTCCAGCATCAACGCGCTATAGATTTGGAATAAACCCAAATTTTCTACGTAACGCACCCTGACCCTAAATGTAGACTGTCGGAATGATTAATCGCGGATCCCTAGAGAGGAAAAACTGTGGGATGCAACACGCCGTATCCTAACAATAGAAAGAGATAATAAAGACAAAAAACCCGTCCCAAGGAAACATGCAGGTGGAACGAGGTGATCCGGGTATCGGGGATTGATTCGTGGCTCAGGGCATTGCGACAGGACCACGTGGTCTTCCAGGTTCATCAACCCCAACTGCCGTGCATCCTACCTGAAACCTACGGTTGAACGTCCTTCGTCTGACAACAAACGCTTACAACGCGGCATATCATCTCGATGGTTTTTTGACGAGATGCTGCTTACGGTAAAAAATAGAATTGAAAATTTAAACTTTTATTTAACTTTTTTCGTCTGCTTTGTGGCTCTCTCTCTCTCTCTCTCTCTCTCTCTCTCTCTCTCTCTCTCTATCTATCTATCTATCTATCTATCTATCTATCTATCTATCTCTCTCTCTGACTCTCTCTCTGACTCTCTCTCGCTCTCTCTCTCTCTCTCTCTCTCTGCTTGTGTATAAAGAGTGCGTTGCTGGACGGATAAGACAGGTCTGCCCTCGGACTGCCAACAGTGGGTGATTCTCGAGTCTGCCGGCAGTTTACCGTAAATGGCAAAACCTTGAATTCCCGGTGGACTACGAGAAGCGAATAGGCTCAACTTGGCACATGTTTGTACGTATGTACTAAGTGTGCAGATTTGAGCCCATATAAATCCAAATCCAAATTCAAATCCGAGAGTTGAACACGGGCAAAAAATTGTTTACTATTACAAAACATTAACCATTATATAGGACGATCGTGATGTAATTCTGTAAACAGAGGGCTAATTATTATCGTCTTTTTAAAACAACATTTTAAACCGCATAACTCTTTCCGGAAGAGTTTATCAGCGTAACCCTTTAGAACCAAAAGATATTTCAAAGAGAAAAATTATATCATACATTTTTCTGCCTCTCCATTATAAACTTTTTCCATGAAAAACTCCATGATTTGTTTCTTTCCAGTGTATAAAAATAAGAAGGGCTATTAAGCTGCATGCGTGCAATTTAAAATTAACGCATGAAAAACAACAGGCACAGACACGGTAAAGCAAGTAATTATTTTCAACGGTTATGATAAGCCGCGTATTATTCGTATAAATGTCCCGCTTTTTTCTTAATGAAAAGAAGCCGTTATTTTATAAGTTTTACTAATATATCGGTGACGGCGAAACAATGACACGAGCCAGAAAAGAAAAGGACTGAACGGCAGCGAGAACAAGCGGACCATATATGGTTTATTTCAATTTTTCAACAGTTCATCTATACTGCAAGTGGTTTTTATAATAATTCTTCAACACTGTTTTTTATTTCTTTAGGCCAATTAGCAAAAATTGTAAATATATTTAAGTCCTCTGCCACAAGGATGTATAATGTCCTAGACATTTCCCCTTTTATTCACTTTTTTACAAAATGTATGTAAAATTAACTATTAAATAAATTCCAATTCCAGCTCATGTATTTGTGTACGATTTCATTTTTATCGCTAAATAAACATATAATGTGACTAATTTATAATATTATCGATTATTTCTTAAATTCAAGTTTGCATTTTATATTTATTTATAATAATTGATATATTATTTACAATTAATTTTTAATAATGGCAATGCCAGGACGTTTGCATTGATAAATAAATGCTAATGTCAAACTAATATATGGGTATCTAGAAAAAATTACTGTTTTGATTGATTTATGGTTGAATAATGTATAATTATCACTGCATAATAAGTTTTTTCTTGTAAAATTGCAGGTTCTCTGACAGACTGGTGGTTTAATAGATCATAGATACGCTTGAAATATATTATAGATTAACAAAAACCTAATTTCAATAAAAACGTTTATATATTGAAACATGATTATTTAGGATCTTCTTTTCTAAAACGTACAAATTCGGGTAAAAATTTCATCGTTTATTTTTATGAAAATTGTCTTTGATCATTGAACTATTAATTGCTTTGTACAAATTTGACTGAGTGAATGCTAAAGAGGTAAAGATAGAGAGTGAATTAGTGCTTGTGTAAGAGAGTGAATGTGAGAGTGCAAAACCGAATGAATTGAAGAACAAAATTACAATAGATTGAGTAACTTAATGGTGTGCACGAAATAATGAACTACTGAGGGAATGAGTGATTGAGTACGTAAGTATAAGTTTATAGCAGTGTGAATGAATGAAGATACGAAAACACAACTGGTTAAAAAAGCTTTAACGATTTAATCGGTGCTTGCGGTAGAGAGCGAATATTTCTATTTATAATATTGATTTTTTGTTCAAGTGTGCCTCTTTGCTGTTATTTTTACTGCTATTATATTTATACCCTTTTTTAGTATTTTATATAACGATTGTTTTGTTGTGTTACTTGACTGTCCTATGCTTGGGTACCTAACCTGTTTGGACTGTAAATAAATAAATACGTATGTGAATGAACACATGAACTTTACGTAGGAGGTTAGTGTTAGGGTGTAAATGAATAAACGAATGAAAAAAACACTGCTGACAGAATTAGCCACAGACAGTATGCTAGTGCGTGTTAGCGCGCGAATGATCGAACGATCTATATCGTGAAAGAGGAATTGAGTAAGTTAGTTCTTATGGTAGGGTGTGAATGGACAAATGAATGAACGAACATATTATTGACAGATTTAGCGAATGTCTATGCTAGTGTTTGTGTTAGCGCGCGAATGATCGAACTATGTATCGTGAAAGAGGAATTGAGTAAGTTAGTTCTTGTGGTAGGGTGTGAATTGACAAATGAATGAACGAACATATTATTGACAGATTTAGCGAATGTTCTATGCTAGTGTTTGTGTAAGCGTGCGAATGAACGAATGAAATATTTGGTGAAAGAGGAATTGAGTAAATTAGTTCTTTTGGTAGAGTGTGAATGGATGAATTTCACAGTTGTTAAACTTTTGAGTGAACAAGCGATTGCCTAAGGAAGCTAGTGCTTGTGATTGAATGTAAAAGGATGAGTGAATGAACGAACGAACTTTTATGTGAAATAAGGAATGAGTAAGTTATTTCTTGTCATAGAGTGTGAATGTATAAATGAATAAACCGGCGAACTGTTGAATTGTATTGTGAACGAACCAATTATGGAGAGAATTAGCGACTGAATAAGTTAGTTCTTGTGTTATCGTGGGAGTGAATGAGTGCATAAATTTAATAATTGCTGATTGATTAGTGGTACTTAGTGAATTAGTGAGTAAATAAAAATCGAGCTATTGAGCAATGAATGACTGACAATGTTAAAAAAACGTCAGGACGAGAACTGCGTACTGAATGAAGAGTGAACGAATGAATTGGTGATAATAAAGAACGATTAAGCGTTTTTTTTTTTTTTTTTTTTTTTTTTTTTTTTTTTTTTTTTTTTTTTTTTTTTTTTTTTTTTTTGTTAAATGCACATAATTGAGATAAGAAAGAACGATTGACTTTATTAAATTTATGGAATTAAAGATCGAAGGTGTGTTTGTAAAAACTAAGCGTATAAGTCATTTATGTTTTAGTGGTCAATTGATCAAGTTACTTCTTTCAATTAATTATTCTTTTTGTGTGAGGTTTTTTGGTTGAGATAATAAAGCTGTTGAGATAATAAGATCACAAGCGGGATTCGAACCCACGACCTCCGGCTAAATACGCCGCTGCTCTACCACTTGAGCTATCGTGACTTCGATCCACTCTGTCATCAACTTCCCATCTCAACCTAGTCACGATAGCTGAAGAGGTAGAGCAACGGCGTATTTAGCCGGAGGTCGTGGGTTCGAATCCCGCTCGTGACACTAACTTTTTTATCTCAATCAAAAAACCTTACTTAAAAAGAATAATTATTAACCGAATAACGTTCCTAGAGCTTTTGTTAAAGTGATTTAATGATGGTGTGAAGAAGTGATGGTATGAAATAGTGTTTGTTTGAGTAAATTAGCTATTTCGTGATAGAGATAGCATCAGTTGTGAATAGTGAATGATTCTAATGTAAATTGGTAATTTTTTATCAAATTTCACAACCTGCCGAAATATTTTAATAATTGTAAAGCAATTGGTAAAATTTGGCGTTAGAAAATGTTCAAACACTGTTGATTCGATATGTTTACTATAGGATTCGGAATATTACTTATGATTTTTTTAGCGCAAGAATGGAAAATTTGCCGATAATTTCAAAGATAGAAATTATTTCATTTTCTAAATAGAAGAAATAAACTATTGGCAAGAAAATAATGATTTTTATGAGGGAGTCCACTGCGCGCAGTATCTTAAATAACAAAATTTCCTTCTCTGAATCGAGCAAACGTCTGTTCGACTTTACGAATTACTGCATTAGCACCAAACACTGCACAAAATTTTCAGTTGCAACGGCTGTATTTTTCCATTTTTTGGAATTCATAAAGTAAACAATGCGTAAAATTCGTTTCATCTAAAGACTTGATTACCTAATAAATTATTCGACACAACTAAAGAAATTCAAAACAGAAACTGAAGAGAAATGAAGCCTTTTTTAATTTAGGGATTATCAAGCGTATTTGTAAACGAAAATGATATCGACAAAAAATGTAAATATTGAGCTAATTAATCCTATAATTGAAAAACGACTTTACTTTCTTGACAAATCAATTGTTTTGATATTTGGCCTTTCATTTATCGTCACTGGAATTGTTGAGTTGAAAACGATGAAAGGCAAATTTTTACTTTGCAGTTTTTTAAAAGTCTGCGTTAACCGAAAGATAAAAGGGTTTAAATTTGAATGGGTCCAATCTCGAAATAGCCTTCTCCTGGAGAAAATTACTGCATAAAAAATGGGAAAACCAAGGGACAGCCATCCGAGCTGGAAAAGTTACAAAGAGTAAAGTTACAAACATTACTTTCTTTTTATATCCAAGACTCTCAAAGTTTAAAAATTGGGACTTAAAATATTAACCATAGCTTTTTATCGTTTTTGATCATTTTTTGTGGAGAACCTTTAGATTTAAAAAACAAAATCTGAGTACAGGGTTTTACAAAAGATTCAAAAAGGCACCAATCGCATGTGAATGTAAATTTTCCAATTTATATTTTATACCGAAGATTCGTATAATTAGAAACAGTCCACAGAACCGATGCTGTTCATTGAAAATTCAAGCACGAACCC